CTAATTTGATTTTCATATATTATTTATATAATATAACTTAATAATTAGGCTTATTGTTTAATTGAATAGATGAACACATCACTGTAATTATGTAAGCTAAGTTATTTTACTTCTATTATACTACAATGATCATATGAAATAAGTTAGAAAAACAAAGTACAATATATGCTTAACTTAACCATTCCACCTAACTCACAAATATGTGTTGGCTTAACTTAAGTAATCGACTTTTTACTCATACAAAGTGAGTTAAGTTTGGTTAAATTTTTCTTAGTTGGTAATTAACTATGGTGAGTAAACATGTATGAATCAAACTAATTAACTTTTAACAACCTTCCTTCTTAATCAATTACGGTACTGAGCGTGTTATGCAAGTTAAAATATTATATCAAGTAACTCAACCTAATGCCATTTAACATTTGACATGCTTATACATAAGTTATATTTTCAACACTCATCCAATCAAACAATTATATCAAAAAAATAATTTTCCTCAGCCCTCTTAACACTTAATGGTAGACAGAGTTCATGGTGGTTGTTAGGAATCCAAGTGTGAGTTTAAGTTCCACATTGAATAGAAATGAGAAAGTAGAACATCTTATAAAGGTGAAAAACCCATTAATCCATTGTCTTAAGGCTTTGGGTAGAGCGTAGTGTCAATCCTTTATATAGTTGGTTCCAATGTTATTGGTGTCCCTACAGGGAGTATTATGTTTATTTTACTAAAACCTTGATAAGTACTTGTGCATTTTTTTGTAAAGAATCTCCTGGATTATTTATCTTCTTCCATATGTATTTATACTTGTATTATGATAGTTTTTTCCTAAAAAATCATTGCTGTATTCTTCATATTCTCTTTATAATTTTTTCCTCAAAAAATCATCGCCTTATTTCATGTTCTCTTTCTTTTATGAATGAAAAATTTATTCCTTTCTTTTCATGAAATTAAATTGAATGTTTAATCCTAATTTCATTCTAGTCTTTCATCTTCAACCTAGCTCCAAATGTCACATTTTAGTGGCAATTTTACTGTAGTAAGTAGTTCATCAGATAAAGTGCTAGAGTTTCTTCTGTTTACGGTACATCATTATACATTGTTCTTTTTCTCAAATGGGGCAATCTCTTCTACGGAAGTTAGTAGTTCTGTCACGCTTTGTTAGAAGTTTGCGTTGTTGCTAGGAATTTTAAATGAGGGAGGTTTATTACAACTTTCCCTATCAATTATCAACAACTGATACATCAAATTAATCAAAACCTATCTCATCATTCCGAAATTAACCAGTGGTTGGAAAAATAAATCATGCCAGATAGTTTTATCCCTCTACCTTACCACACCAAAGTTAACATTTTATAACATTACGAAACTTTTCCGTGACTTCTGGTTTTGAACTGAGCTTGGTACTTACTGCTAAACTTAAAATGTAACCTAATTTCTTCACAGAATGGAAAGAATGTCGTCCTCCCCCTTCCCACAAAACAAAAAAACTAAAGGAAAAAAGATAAGCATTGTATGAGAAAGTCTATAATAAAGGAAAACACTGATATATATTGTAGGAGAAACCAACAAAAAAATTAAAGTACTGTAATTCTGCAAGAACTGTGCATAACAAAACAAACAAAGAAGTCTGTATGCTGATCATCTAATTTGTGATAAATTAACTCTTGAAGTCTTTAACCTTCCCTGGCCAGAAAAGTTCACAAGTTCTCTAACACTCCGACAAACAGGAAGTGTTGGTTATCGTTTTGCCTTGACAAAGTCCATGTGGAATCTCACGTGAGATTAAATTTTGATGTTTGATCTGGTTCACTAATAAAATTTACGCTGTTATTGACAGTTATGCTCTATCAGAGGTCAAGAGCATAGGTTATATTGCGTTATGGTTGTTTTCCCGTCAGCATTTATGGAAGACGATGATTATAAAACACCTGATAATGATAAGGTGATCACATTCACAATGTGGCACAAACTACACAAAAAAACACAGATGTCATCGATAATGGCAATCTGTACCTTGAAAAGCATATAGATTCTCCTTTGACATAAGCGCATGAAGCATCATCAAATGTCAGAATACATTAAGCTTGGGAATCGGAAAAAGATCACTCAAATTTGGCAGCAGGCCAAATTGAAATCTCAGAATACCCATCTTCAGTAGCACAAGCTCTGAACATGCCTGTTGTATTAAAAGGCATTGCAACTTCTCCTTTGGCAGACACAGCAACCAAACCAACAGTGCCTTTTGGCGTGCGTTCATGCACAACACAAGTCGCAGCTTCCTCGAGAGAAAGACCCTTAAACTCCATCAGAGCAGCGACATCTCTTGCCACAGTTCCTCGTATTATTGCTTCACCTTTGCCTGTTGCCGAAACTGCACAACGTGTATCAGCATAGGTCCCAGCACCTATGACCGGTGTGTCACCAATTCGGCCAACCATTTTGTTCACTAGTCCACCAGTAGATGTTGCAGAAGCTAAATTTCCATTACCATCAACAGCCACACACCCAACAGTTCCAATTTGACTATCACCATTAGCAATTGCTGTTTCTTTCTTGGTATCGTTTTGGATAGGTTGGGTGTAGTCAATCTACATATATGTGAATCAACATCGTTGGAAGAATAAAAAAGAAACTTTGAGGCGATTAATGTAGGAAACAACTTATATGTACTTTCTTAAGCATGTTTTAGTAATGTTGTCTGATTAAAATTAGAGCACTTAAGCAATTTATATTAATATTTAATGCAAACCTACATTGTACAAATGATTAAAATGAAATTACAATTCCGACAAGAGGATGAGAATAAAAGCTACATTAGCATCAAAGTGTAATAAAAAAATACTGAAAAGAAATGAGTTTTGATAAGAAAACAAACAGTATGACATAAATAAAATATATGCAGAGTAAATGCATGCTTGCTTTCAAAATTAAGTACCTGGACCCTATTGGCTTCTATTGCCTGCTTTAGCCTTTCAATGTTTTCTGCGGTGATAAAATGGCTTGAATGGAGAGTCTCAACTCCCTGAAGACGAAGGATGATTAGGAAGAAAGACGAGTGTTGTTGAAGTTATAGTAGTAATAAATGTCGATGATAAGAAACGGAAAGGAGAGTAACTTGTTGTCTCGCAAATTCCTCTGCTCCATCGAAAGCGAGATAAATGTGAGGCGTCTTCTCCATGACCAATCGAGCGAGAGAGACGGCGTTGACAACCGTAGTGAGGCCGGAAACGGCTCCGCAATTCATAGTGGTGCCGTCCATGATTGAAGCTTCCATTTCGACGGTGCCTTTGGAAGTGAGCACAGATCCCTTCCCCGCGTTGAACTGAGGAATGTTCTCCAACTCCCGAACCTAAACGCCCTCCAAGACAAAAAACAAGACAAAAAACGAATCAATAAATCACCATACATAAATACGTAATACGTACTTGTGAGGATGATTGATATGATACGTACGACGCGCTCAACCACATCGAGAGGAGGCAGTTTGGCTTTGAGAGCTTCGACGCCGATTTGGAGGCAGTGGCGGAGGGCTTCCTCTCGTGGCTGACGGCGCTCCGGTGGTAGCGAGAGAGGGATGTCGCCGGCGCCGCCGTGTAGAGCTATGGCCCAACCCATACGTTGCTGTTGTTTGTTGAGTGTGTCTCTGTTGTGAAGATGACTCGCTCTTAACTACCCACACTAACTCCCATTCTCTGTCACACCAAAATATTATTTCATACTTTCACACGTCAAATCTCAAATACGTGTAAACAAGGATAAATATAAACACTCAATTATTATAAATATAAAAAAAGTTCATAAATCTTGTCAATCTTGTCAATCTACAGTAAGCATGAAAAAAAAAAGGGTGAAGGTGGGATTTAGTTTCAATTATTTTTGTGAAAATGTGGAGAAAGTGGTGGATGACTATGAACATGCTCCTCATCCACCTCAGCCATGATTTCAGAACTGAAAATCACTTTAATAAAAAAGTTTCTTCTCAGTTTCTCCTAACAGTGTAAACTATGATATTAGGATTAAACATGTTTGCAGGATTTGAATACTAAATTAAAATTAATCTTTGTTTCAAAATTTAATGTCAAATTTTAAAATTGAATAGATATAATTTTTTTAATCTAATTAAATGAATTTGTTTTGATATATTAGAGAGTGTTTCATAAGAATGTTTGAGTTTTTTACATTATCTACTACATTTCATTTCATTTTTAAAACACTGTTTAATTTTTATATTTAAGAACCAAAATATAAATAGGGATGAATTTCCATTTTATTTTAAAATTATTTTAAATGTGCGAAAGAAACCCTTTGAAACTATTTTAGTTATATTTTGGAAATAGGTAAATATATATTAAAAAAGAAGGTTAAAATTTGATACCCAATAAAGATCTGTAATCCCTAATGGCAACGGTCACAACTCACTGAGGATAAAGTTTATCCACAGCCCATTTTTTAAAATACTATCATTATTTATTTTTCTGTTACAATCCTTTATTTATTACATCAAAATGAAACATTTGATCAGGAATTTAAGCCACGAATTATGGTACGTTTACTCCAAATTTATGTTAGTTTATTGTAGCAATTAAAAAAGATGCCATGTAATGACCTTTCTTTCTTCAGCTTCATTTTCTCTTTAATTTCTGGTCAGTTTCAATAGGCAAAATGAAATTGTGTGACATTTGGTTTTTGTCTAAACTCTGATGTTAAAGCAAGTTCTCCTAATTTTAATCTGTTTCAGGTGAATCATATCTCCTAGTATACCCCAACAGAGAACAAAACATGACCACAATGACGTGTCTACTCAGATCATGTTTCTCTGTTTGCCGGTTGCCCTTAGGTAAAGTGAGAAAGCTAATTTCTTGCTTAATATTTTGTAGCTGTACATTTATTTAAACAGGATAAAAAAAATTACAATGTTTTCATTTTTATTCTCTCACCATTTTCTGAACTGTTGTCAGATGATCACGAACTGACTTCACCCCCCTGTGTGGCAGCGAAAAACATGACATTCAACAAAAGCGAGGAAAAAAACTTCAACAGTATCTGCAACAACAATTTCTCACGGTCGAGCAACAAATGCAACAGCAAAAAACACCTGAACAATCCAATAATAAAGGACAAAGATGTTGGTGGGGTTTCCATCGGAAAGAAGTTGAATCATTCGAGTTGGTCACTCTCTGCAGATGAAGATTACATAGTTTTTTGCTTTGGAAAGGATGTGACACAAGAAAACAAAGAAGTCAAAGATCTCAATCTCAGAAGTTCAAGGCCGGTGAACAGGAAGGTACGCAATTGCACATCATAAAATTTTGTTACCCTGTTTGGCTTTGTTCGATAACCTTCGATAATCTTTAGCAGCTGAAGTATGGTAAGGATGAAGAACAAGACAGTGTTTGGAACATTCATGACAAAAGTTCAAACTTTAGCCAGCATCGTAATGATGAACATGATGGAGCTTATGTAGTTCACTACCACCACCCTCAACTATCCTTGCATGGAAAGGAACGAGTGATGGTACAAATGGGCACACAGAAACAAAGGGCGTGTCACGTTGAGGGAATTGAAGAATCTGCAGAATCGAGAAACTCTGACCAATCTGAGAGCAGTAGAAGTTCTTTTGCCTTTCCTGTGTAAGTTAATTTTTGTACGAATTTTCGGCAAAGTGTGTATTTATAATAATAGTAGATTAGACTCATCCTAGTAAGTAAATTTCATTACACAAATAGCAAAGGAATAGTTTAACTATGATTAGAAATAGACAGTATGGATGAAAAAATGAACATATGTATTGATGGTTTTGTTTGAAAAACACAGACTAGCTTGGGAATGGATTGGAAGCCCTGTACAAATGCCAAAATCATAAGGTTTGCACCTGAAGAAGCACAAGTCGAGAGCGGTGACATTTCAGTGTTGGAGATTCTGATTCCTGCTCATTCTTTTATTTTATTATTGTGTTCCTCAAGAAAGAATTCTTTTAGTCAGCTACCAAATTGTACTTTTGTTCATAGTCAATATGTTGTTATGTATTTTCATATCTTTGCTTTGCTTTGATTTTTCACGCATCAATTTACATCCATGTGTGACATATCATATCCAATGTACAACCAAATCCAGTGTTAGAATGAGACAATCAATTTACAACCAAGGACATATCATATCCAATGTAGGACCAAATACAATGTTAAAATAAGATAATCAATTTACAACCAAGGTTACTGGTTGCGCCACACAAGCCAAGCTTGGTGTTAGCCCATTTTAACATGAGGGATAAACTTTAAAATTAACTACCAAATCAAGGTTATAGTAAATTTTCATGTAACATATACATCTATAACTCAAAATATACATAACAATTATATTAATTATTAAAATAAGTTTATTTGTAGGTCAAAATAAATAATTATTATGTAAAAAAAATTCAAAATTATTCCTTTGAAAATATCTCACTTAAAATTTATGAAATTATAAAATGTTTCTTATCAAAATTTATTTATTTGATCGTATCATTTAAACAAACAAAATATTCATGCCAAAAGTATATTTTAAATAACACAACATATATTTTATAAAATACCTCTAGTTAAATATCCTCAATAATCCCGTATCCATTAAGATTAAGCACAATTTAAATATTCATTATAATTTCCCTTCTTGTTCCTTGGCCGGAATTAACTTTATAAGTAAAATAATTACAAATTACTACTACTATTACTGTTATCATCATCTTCATCCTTACTTTCTCTATCATTACATTTTTATCATCATTACAACAACTGTTACCATAACTACTGTTTAATGTTTATCTTGCTTCTACTGAAATATTATATCATATTATATAATATCTTCACCAAATGTGTCATAAATCGATTTATACAAGAGTCGATAGATAAACATAAGTGAAAATAGATAATCATCAACTGGGTCGACGCAGAGAGGTAAAAGGCGTATAATGCCTACTAAGCAGTCATCACCGTTCCTTTCATTCAAGATAAAATAGTACAGGTTTTCAAATTTCCACCGGTTTGCATGTTCAATGGATATGGACTATACAAGGAATTAACCAGAAAACAACTTGGGAAAAAAGTGTAATTTTACACAAATACTTTGCCATTGTCAGCCGTAACAGTTGCAGCTCGCAGGTGTGAAAAAAACACGGTACACAAATCGATACAAGTATATATATATATATATATATATATATATAACTACTGCCAATGGGAATCAGCTGCTAGAAGAAAACTTGCAGAATGCCACTTCAAAGAGAAACTAAAACAAATCAGGTCATGATTAACTCTGGTTTTGAAAAATCCGATCCATTGGTCTGGTGAAATTCTGAATGCAGTTAGACCCGCGAGAACACATTTTCATTTCATTGAACATGCTCGTTTAGTACTTCGTCACATAAACGGCACAACTTTAAATATTTGTTCAGAAACAGGCTTGTAAGAAAATCAATCTCCCTAAGACAGGATAAGTGCCTTACCATTTTGACTAAAGGGACATAACGTGTAGACATCAAATAAAACTAGTGACTTTACAGGTTAAAATCTTTGGATTTGAAAACAAATGACTGAAGATGTAACCTAGCATTAGCAGCAGCCGCAATAGATTCCTCGTCTTGTCTTTCCTTGGTAATAGCAACAGCAGCCATATAAGCTTTTCTTGCTTCTTCCATTTCCTGTAAATCCATCTCGTCCAAATCATCCTGTTCAACGTTTACTTGAAAAGCTCAGCATCCAAGAATTAGATATTTATGCACACTAACACAATTCTGTTCTAGGAAACAAAGATATACACTAAAAGTCGATTTGGTAGGTAAGAAAGAAGTAGAATGGACGNTGCTCGTTTAGTACTTCGTCACATAAACGGCACAACTTTAAATATTTGTTCAGAAACAGGCTTGTAAGAAAATCAATCTCCCTAAGACAGGATAAGTGCCTTACCATTTTGACTAAAGGGACATAACGTGTAGACATCAAATAAAACTAGTGACTTTACAGGTTAAAATCTTTGGATTTGAAAACAAATGACTGAAGATGTAACCTAGCATTAGCAGCAGCCGCAATAGATTCCTCGTCTTGTCTTTCCTTGGTAATAGCAACAGCAGCCATATAAGCTTTTCTTGCTTCTTCCATTTCCTGTAAATCCATCTCGTCCAAATCATCCTGTTCAACGTTTACTTGAAAAGCTCAGCAACTAAGGATTAGATATTTATGCACACTAACACAATTCTGTTCTAGGAAACAAAGATATACACTAAAAGTCGATTTGGTAGGTAAGAAAGAAGTAGAATGGACGAAGCAGGAATGGTAGAATGAATGAAACAGAAAAGGCACATGAAAACAGATTAGAAATAAATCAAACAACCAATATTGTTTTCACTCTCTCCCTCCTATTTTCATTCTACCAAACAATGTATAAATTTATAGTCTCGTACCATATACCCCTTTACGGAAGTGAAAAGAATTAATAGAATCACTGAATTTGTAAGCATGCACAAGTGGAAGCCAAGCACGCTGATAAACAAGTTATTCACGTATCTTGAACCAGGAAGGCAATCCAAATCATAGGACGGTGTTGAAATTGTTATCATAAACATGCGGAAAAATGTGCCGTGTACATTTGAAAAATATTCATAAACTCACAATACTTGGCAGATGACTGAAATCATAAGGCTTCACATCATAATTGTCGGTGTATTTAGCAGTGTCAGTTTTTGATAATCCTTCCAGTAATAACGTGAATGATGAAATATCCGCTTGCATGGAACCTAGCTCATCTTGAAGTTTCTCTACTTTCTTGGTGGATGTCATAGCTTCCCACTGTATCTTTTCAAGAGCAGCTTGCTTGTCTGCGAGCTTAATCTGTGGAAAAAGGAGACTTGTTAATGTGTGAAAAGAAGTACTTTAAAACTTCCCTAAGGGATACAAGGTTGGTTTGGTGGTAAAAGTGGAAGGGAGGAAGGAATAGATGGGTCATGGGTTTAAATCCCGGCTAACAAAAATTAACATTTAACAACTAACTTCTTGCTGATAAAAAAAACAAAAACTTTAAAACCTCCCCCTCACCAAGGAATTGAGGAATTCTTCCCCACTGTATATTATCCATCAGAAACTAAGATTGGATAAGGCAGTATAAGATCTGAACACAACATTTTATTTCATTGCATTCTATGATTGAGGTTCATAAAGTCCAAATAAACCTATAGTAACAATTTCTGTGGGGCAACACGCGTCAAATATTGAACCGTTGCAAAATCTTAAGTAGAATCGAAAACAAAATCAAATCTGTCAAAGTTAATCGTGTTGCAATTGTTAAGCCTTTCAGCAGATAGATAGATAGATATATAGATGTATGAAGCGTCCGTAATAAGTGAATAGGTATCATTAAGACTAAGTGTTAAACTTGGCTAAAGTAGATGTATAGAAAGACCTTACGACAAATTATTAATGGAAAAAAGAATTTAGAAGCGGATCATTACTTTAGCATCAGAGAGCTGCTGTTGTGTAACCTTCAGTAACGTGTCCTTTTCTGAAGCCTGGTGCTTCAGCTCATCAAGTTTTGCGCTAAAAGCATTCAACTGGTCTCTTGTGTTTTCTGCTGACTTTAGAAGTTCATCTTTCTCCAACAATTTCCTCTGAAGTTCCTCTACCTGTTCCTTCAACACATTCAACTCTTCACTGTCTCTTGAAGAAAATGTGGAATAAGCATCAGTGTCATTGCCACCAGTTTTTCCTTGTTCTTTTTCTCCATGATCCCTTTTCTTTTTGGCAGGAATAGATTGGGCAACATTCCTACTTTTAGTATCCGTTACCTATTAGAGGATGTAAATGATTCACTACAACAATCACGGTAAAGAAATGCAGTCACTCAGTCATAATGCACTATGCACAGAAAATTTAGCATTTATGAGAAATTATTCTTTTCAAAAGAATAGTTTCAGACTACCTATGAACAAGACAGGAAAAAAACTAAAATAACGGCAATAAGCAAGTTGAATCAATAGTAAGAAATCGATACAGATATTTATAAATTGAACTTCAACATTTGGAAATAGGACTAAAGCTCATGTTACTTGAACTACATAATACCAATGGTCAGTCAGAAAAACAACCTGATTCGAATAACAAAATCTACATCACCAGAGTCATACGAATGGACCTAGCATTCCTTTGCTTGTGTTGTATAATATTATTATTATTATTATATCACATTATAAACAAAGACCTTTCTGCTCTCCATCTTACTGAAGGTTTTCCAGTCTAAACTAATGGAAATTTTTTGTTCAATGGTTCAATCTTCACTGACTGAGTCAAGGTGGTAGCAGTGCCAACCACCTATGATGAGAACATGGGTTTGAATCTCAACTTCTAAGGAAGCAGCTGCTGTAAAGAGGCAGTCAACCCATGTATTAACATGATCACACAGGGATTAGTCTCCCAAGTAATTCAAAGGGCCCAAACCAATAGGGATACTTCATGGGTTCAACAAAAGGGAGAAAAGGGGAAGTGAACTATTAAAAGGAAGGGATTTAATCAGGTGAAGAAGTATGTAAAAGGTCCTAATACACAAGCACATATTTCAGATATAATATGAAAAAAAAGGACAGTCAGCAACGCACGGATATTTTTCATAACATACAAAGGATCGAAAATTATTAAATTTCATATCAAAAGTCCAAGTATCGCTAGAACTACATTTGTTTCAAATCAGGAGATTGAAGAGACAGAATAATAGAGATTTGTTATGTTACTCAAATTGTGTCCTCATTTACATGAATAACTATCATATTCAAACCCATGCACAAAAGTTTCCTGAAGTAAATGTTGCTAGGCATTAACTTTTGATTATGGACACATGTACAACATGCATTTAAGAGCAGTAAAAAGTACCAAATGTGGTAAGTTGGAAATATACAGAGCTTTTCTGGTATTTGTGCTTGAGGAGGAAATAGCTTAGTTCCACAATTTTTCATATAGAACTTCCATCATGGCACCACTCATAAATCATAAACGCAGTCAAAATATGCAAAATCATTCCACACACAAGGATACTTGTACTAATACCAGAGACTCAAAATTAGGTAAAGCTTCAGCCTGTATTGATAACTGAAACTGAAGTGTGACAGATTCAAGTGGGAATTTAAACAGAAAGATGGAAACAATAAAAACTAACTCTGCATCATTGCAAGGTTGTCAAATTTTTGAGTTGACTCCTAACTATTAATTGTTTACTAACCTACGCAGAGAAAACAAGTTAACTATATGATACGCATAAATTTTTCATATTTTTTTTACATTAGTTAAGGAGTTGAGTCTATCAGCCAGGTCTAAGGAAGTTCCATTAGTAAAACAATCTTGATTGCAACTGCCATGATAGAGAATTTCAAATATTTGCATAATATATCCAACGAAAGGAAGTCCTTAATTGCTCCCATGATTGAACGTGTAGAGTAAGATTTATGAAGATTAGAATAAACCCAAAAGAAAGGGAAACTTCGAAGAAATGGAAAAAATTTAAACAACCGCAGAGGGAAAAGGTGATCCGGTCTTACTCTTTTAGACAACGATTCTCTTGTAGGTGTCTTGGTGTAGATCATGGAACCATGCCGCGTGAACGAACTGTTCGCTTTACGATCCTAATCATAATTACACAACAGAGTACTTAAGATAATTAAATATAAATTCAAGAACACCAAATGTCAGAAGATCGCCAATTGTCACAAGTCACTAGATTTCAAGATGTTGTCAGCACACAAGCCAATACAGTAAAGTGGAAGTTACATAATTCCCAAGTTGTTATTTCCTTTTCCTCTTGCACAAAAAAAAAAAACAAAATTTTCCTCCTTTTTGCGTTACCCTGAATTCGGAAGAAAGGAGAGGGAAAAGGGTTGAAGGGTTAGAGGGTTACGATGAGTGACTGAACGAGAGGGACAATGCCGACGAGGTCGTTGTAAAGGTCGCGATCCACATTAGTATTGGGCGCCGCACCGGAAGCTAACGCGTGCTCTTTCGATGAAAGCCATGAATTGGTCTCAGACAACTCCGAATTCTCCTGCAAATCCATGAAACGCTGCATTTTCTGCACTTCTCGCCGCAGTGGAGAGGAGAGAGAAAGTTAGAGAGAGAAATACTCTGAGCTGACTGCACTTTGAAAATGCCTCACTCCTCTCTGCAGACAGACAAAACAAAACAACGGATATTCATCTTTAAATGACGGATATGCCCCTACACCTTCCTCTTACAATTATATAACCCTGCTAAAGTTTAATTATATTTGTAATGTTGAAATTTAAAGTGAATTCAATCTTAATCTCTTAAATTAAAAATATTCTATTTTCCAAAAACTATATTGTTTTTACCTCAAAATATTAAAGTTTAGATACTAAAAATAAGTTTTAAAAATTATTTTAAATTCTCAAATTCAGTATTTAAAAGTTTTAGCCATATTTTTTTTTAAATTTGAGAAATTAAAGTAAACTTTTTTACACTTAGAAGATATAAATAAATTTATTTAAAATTTCAGTAGATCATTTTAATGGTATTGAAAAAGGAAGAACTAAAATAAGTTATTTTTTTCTAATTATTTTAAATTTTAAATCTTTTAAAAGTAAAACATTATAACTTTAAAGAATTGTTTCTCCATGATATAGTATTGCAAAAATGACAATAATGTGAGAAATTCCTACAAGTTTTGTAATCATCTAGTTAAAATGTATGTTTTTATATTATATTAGTATACATTATTCATCCACAAAAATGATAATTAACATTACGTAGAATTAATTGTGAATAAAAATTAATAGTGTTCTCTCAGTGTGTAAAACTCTAGAAAATGGTATTTTTAAGAGTGGTGGTAGTATAAAAATAGTGAGACTCGACTATTTTATTATTAAATGGTTTTATTATAAATAATTTTATTATAAAAGAGTTTCATTATTTTAAAATGTAGCATCACTCTAGAAACCACTTTTTTAGAGTTTTATATCTTCTCTCTAAGAGTTCTAACTCCTGAGTCATCTCTTTGACCATTAGGAGGTCCTAATCAACCACGACAACGAGGTCTACTTTTCTGCCCGATCAGTTTCTTCAACAGAGCAAGTAGGTTTCGACTTTTTTTCCCCTTTCATTTCCAAATCTGTTTTAGACGAATTTAATATTTTTGCATGTGTAAACATGTCTCTCTTACTTGTTCTTGGTTCATTTAGAGTTCTAAGAACTTTGTTCGTTTGGAATTTGGTGTTTCGTAGGTTCGTCTAGGTATTCCTTGCGGTTCAAGTAATCGGTGGAGCGTAGACAGTTTCTTTGAGAGGTAAGGGAAGGTAAACCTTGTCTTAATTGTATTTGTAGTGTAAATTTTATAATTTTATAAATTTTATACGTTTTAGTAGAAATTGGGGTTAGAGTAAAGTTGACGTATGTGAAATTTGTGTTTTTGTGATATGGTGTTAGTGCAAATGATATAGGGATGTATTTGTTGTTGTATACTGTATTGTTTGTGTGTGATGAGGATCTTTCATTGTTTAAAACAAAATTCAAGTGGTGGTAAGAGTAGAAATTAAGTTACTTAGAATTTAAGCTTAAATGGAGGGGTCTTAGGTAGTGAAATTTAGAAATAGGTATGGGAATGTTATGGGATCTGTTTTGGCACTCTCATGAGGTTATATAGAACTTGTTAGAAGGGTTATATGATTTAAAAATTGTATGAAATGAAAAGGGTCATTTATAGGGGCTATTTTCAAGTGTTTTTGGTGTAAAAAGAGGGTGTTAAGTGGTAAAATGGTGAGGTAAATGGTTTGCATTGTTTTGGAAGGTTACAGGTATGTTATCACACATATTAGGACTTGTCTAGGTGCTTAAACCAGTAACATCTGTTCTAAAATGGAAAATGGCTTCATAGGTTGAGTTTTTAGCCCATTTAAGGGGTTCTAAGAGGTGAAAATGAGAAGTAGGACAACTGAGAGTATTTGGACTTATTTATGCAGGTTGCAAACTGGTTTGATGGTTTAAAATGATAGAAATGAAATTGAGTAGATTATAGGAGTGAAATTGGGTTTTCATAGGTCAATTTGGGTTTAGAGGGGTCAATTCAAGTTAGATGTATGTTTAGGGGCTTTGTGTAAGACCCATAAAAAAAAAAAAAAA